TTACTTAGGACTTTGACACCACTGCATCGCTGTAGGTACTTTAGGAACAAACTAATAATGCCATGATGACTTTTCCTTGTAGGATGCAGGCCTATGTAAACAAGGAATTGGGCAAGGGTATTATCTATATCTCTCCAATGCTTATTACAGAGAGAACCATCATGGGTTACGATATACCAGACACTCATGAAAAGCTGGTGAACTTGAACCTGGAGGAGAGAAAGAAATACAGAGAAGATATGGTAATCGAATATAAGTATCAGGCGGGAATGTACATCTATGAAGCCATGAAGAAGGTCCGGGAAATGGGTGCGTCATGGCCGCCCACCAGTTTGGGTAAGTCCAAAAGATACTTGGAACATGTATATAGGTACTGGGATCATGACTTCTCATATTTGAACATTTTTAATCTGTATTGTGTGAATGGTGCAGCCAGGGCATCATGGGCCACTAGATTGCATGTATAATCTATCCTCTGGACGGAAGGGCCTATATATTTGACTCTTTGCGGGATACAAACAAAGTAGGGTACAAGCAATTTTGAAAGTTGTTTGAGATAGTAAGTGACAGATCAAAATTATTCATTTATAGTTAACATACGTGTTGAAATTATCGTTGACACTATTGGTTTTTCGTATAGCACTTATAAGAAGTACATGCAAGATCCCGAAGATCTGAGGAGAAAAAAATCAAGAATGGCACGAAACTGAAACCCAGGTGCGAGTTCCCGGTAAGTATATTAAAAGTCGTTTGTGCTATTATATCGAGCATGCTCTCTACTACTACTGCTGATATACTACTTTACTACTACTACTCCTACTACTCCTACTCCTACTACTACTACTCCTCCTCCTACTACTACTCTGACTCCTACTACTACTCCTACTACTCCTCCTCCTCCTACTCCTCCTCCTATTACTCCTCCTACTCCTCTCCTCTACTCTACTCCTATACCAAACTACTACTACTACTACTCCTAACTACTACTACTACTCTACACTACTCTACTTTACTCTACTCCTATAACTACTACTACTCCTATACTATACTGTCCACCTACTACTACTCTCTATATATGCTCTAATAATTGTGTATTATATATCGTGCAGTGCGCTAAACAACCTTATGGCTCAGTATTATGTGAATTCTACGTTTGCGAGTACCTGAGGACGTGCAGCAGATTCAGCAGCAGCTGGCGACAGCTCAAGAAAGCACAAGGATGGTGGCAAAGGGAGAAGGTTGACCAAAACTTCAGACAAACAGTAGCAGACATATGTAAGTTTGTCACAGAGAGCGCGCATGAAGGGAATACGTTCTTCAACAAGGAAGGCGACTTAGCGCGGGATCCGAAGTTACAGAGAATCAGAAACTGGAGCAACCAGTTACGAATCTCGGATTACATTTTACCGGACCTCTTTCCCAAGAAAGGTTGATATGTATGACTGTCCTTAGTTGCTCATGTATGAATGATGTGTGTTTGTGAAACAATGATGAAGATATCTCTAATGTAATAACTCAAATGTTGGTTCATCGAACGAGAATGAATGTAATATATGTTTGTCATCTATTTTCTGCTTTATCTGTGTTTTCATTAGCGAAATTCAAATTCAAATTCAAATTCTAATTCTAATTTGAAAAAGCATTTTTTTTAAATATAGAAATCATTAACCGAGGCGGGCAACTAACAACAGCTGCATCGGTTAATTCTTTAACAAAGGCGGGCGTCTTTAGCTAACCGCCTCGGTTACAATCTTAACAGAGGCGGGCACGTTAAGACAACCGCCTCGGTTATGCGTAAAGCCAACTGCCACAGTAAATCAATTAACCGAGGCAGTTAGGGCAACCGCCTCGGTTAAGCCACGATTATCCGTGACCTTTTGACCGAGGCGGTTGCAAAAACCACCTCGGTTAACCGAAAATGCCTGCCTCGGTTAAATATGTTGTAGTAGTGTGATAAACATATTACACTTTCTCTATTAAATCTACAATTTTTTAATTTATATATTCCTCATATATAGAACCTCGAAATGAGTTGATCCTTTGTCATGAATTCCTCTAAAATCATGTTCTATCATTTTATAGTACTTATTTGTGTTTGGGATGCCCTAGTAACAACTGAAAAGACAAACATCACTTGCATTGGCCATATATACCTGAAAATAAAGAGAAAAGAGATATCTTTGTGGGGGGTGTGGATGCTCTTTTTCTGTTTTTGCTGGTTGCCTTTTCTAGGCATCGCTGTACCACGAGAAAGCAAGGGAGATCATTTTCACTACCAAAATGGTGGACTTCTTCTAGTGTTTTCAAGTAGTAATAAAACACTATCACTAGTCATAGCACATGAGAATCTCACTAGGAGGCATTTAGTAGGGAAAATTTATACTAAATTTTCAATGCTAAAACACTAGGAGAAGCCCACCTCACTAAGAGAAGTCTAAAATTCTGGTTGTGTTGGTCTGCATGCTTTAAGTTGGAAATTTGGATGGAGCTAATTATCAAGAATGGATGGACAAAAATAATTAATAATATGCTTTGGTTTCCTTAATTTGGTTATTATTTTTGTTATGCAATTTCCCTAGAGTTGAACTAAATAGTTGAATACTTTTTGGTAATAAATACTGTGTATGTGCACCAGCAAAGGCCGGAGATGCCTCCATCGTTATCTAAAAAAACGTGTAATGGTAAGGAGGACTCAATGAAAACATGCATGCTAGACCAAATTAACAATGTGATGAAGTCCTAGAGAACATGCTCAACCAAACTGATAATATGATGATGTGCTGAAATAATATGAATCTAGTTTTGCACGATTAAGAAGTTCGTTGGGCGGTATTTTGTGACGTGATCACGTGACTGGTTAATTTTAACACATTTCCTACATCTCAATCGCCTGATATTGAGGATGCACTTAGGTGACAACGCTGGCTCCCCTGCGCCCCTGCGCGTCGGCCGGTGCCCGCGCCCATGGCTAGGGTTCCGGCGAAACCTCGCCGGCGTCGGGTAAGTCCAGCGCCCTCTCTCTCGGCCTCCCTCCCTCTTTCATTCTTCTCCAGATCCGGATGGTATAGAAGGGGTTTTGGGGGAGGTAGGCAGGCCAGGAGGTGGGGACGGCAGCCAGACGACTTCGGGGCCCTAACGGCGATGGAGGCGGCGAGGCCAGGTCGGGGCGGGGTGTCTCGGTCGTTCTCGCCGGAGTTGGAGAAGAAAGCAATGGCGAGAGGGGGAGGGGAAGTGGGAGGACGCCGCGGGCGGCGGCAGGGGCGAGTTTTGTCATTCTGCGATGGCAAGAGCAGGAGCTGCTGGAGCCTGGATTTTCAGACGTTTCCGCCACACGTTTGTGGTCATGTTTCGCGAACACGATGTTCAAAATTTCTGGTATGGCCCTGGATACGGTCTCACATCAGACTCAGTGACAAGAATATCATTTTTTTATTCACTTTTTTGGATATTCGAAGCACTTGCAGTTCAAATCTAAAAAATTACCGAAAATTCATTTAACTAAAATAAATTGACGAAATATAGTAAAATCACTTAGAAATGTACAAAACTTCAACACAGAGCAACAGGTATTGTAATACAACAGTACAAAAAGTTTGGGGGGCAAAATAAAAAAAATGGTTTGCCGAGTGTCAGAGGGTGACACTCGGCATATAGCATGAGTTGCCGAGTGTCGCATGCAAGGTGACACTCGGTATATAGGAAGGTTTGCCGAGTGTCGTATGGTGACACTCGGCATATATGTGGGTTTGTCGTGTGTTAACATGTGACACTCGGCAAAATGCTAACGGAGGTCGACGGTGTTACCCGAACATGAAGTTGCCGTGTGTCTATTGTTTGCCGAGTGCAGGCACTCGGCGTATACAATTATGCCGTGAGTTTTATGTTTGCCGAGTGTCGTCTTTGGGACACTCGGCAAACATGTTGTTTGCCGGGTGCCCGAAATCTTGCCCACGGCAAAGCTGGGGACACTCGGCAACTTAGGTGTTTCCGGTAGTGGGAGGAAGAAGATGAATAGGAAGCTGATCTGGACCATCCGTTTCTAATCCAAGGGCTGACATGCATCGTCTGAAAGAAATCCAAATTTCAGACGACTGGAATATAGCAACACCCAAAAAGTGAAACTTATTTTTCGCATCCATTAGAAAGGTGATATTCTTCTATATGAAATTATCCAAGGATTGCTCGAATGATGCCATATGTCGCCGTGGTGATAACTCGATGTGTCACTTAAAGGCTTAAAGCCACCCATTCGGTTCTGACGTCGCTGCCCGTCCTCCGGCGTTTGTGACCATCATCTCCACATCCGGTCTAACCACCTTCTTTAGGGCTGGCAGTCATCACGGGACCCTTGGTAGCACCCAATCCTGCCTTATATGACAGCGGCAAGCTATGGGCTGGGTCTTTGGAGTCTTGGGCGACAGATTGCAGCAATATCACATATCGGCTACAAGAATGAGTTCATTTTCATAAGAAAAACACAGAAAATAAAGAAAATTTCTTGCGTTCCAAATTAGGCCTTAGTTGCGTCCTCATATCAGAACATTCTAGCTAGAGCGGATTGCATGCATGCATTGCACCAGGTCCAGGTGGCATTATGAGTGCATGCATGTGAAAAGAAAAAAACGTCCGCATGCATGACACCCCGGGCACCACATGTTCTTGATTGTTTCACGGCGAAGCATACGCCTCCGATCCATCACAAAATTTCCCTCCCATTCCCACCCCAGCGAGACGAAACTCTTAATTCAGCGGCCGGCGCCCACACAAAATCCTCAGAGGATAACGTTGTGGGCCAGGGATATCGGGGTCCAGCCACTCGCGCGCTGCCACGTGGCGCGCCGGCCGTCGCACCTGTCCTCCCGGGCATTATTGTCAGGTTTCGGCGCCACAGGTATATTGGCTCCGCAGCTAACGACCTGGGGGCTCCGCATCCACCCATCAGCAAAGCAGCAGCTAGCACATCGTCACAGCGGAAAGCAGCAGCAGCAGCAGCAGCAGCAATGGCGGCCTCCATGATCTCGTCGTCAGCTCTGGTGGCGCCGTCCAGGGCGCAGGGCCTGCCGTCCCTCGGCCGCCGCGCCGCCTCCTTCGCCGTCGTCTGTGGCACCAAAAAGAAGATCAAGACCGACAAGCCCTACGGTGCGTGCCATGCGTTGTTCCTGTGTCGATCAGCTGCTTTAATTGAGAGTGTGTGTGTGTGTCTGTGTGCGTTTGGTTCTGACTTCTGAGGTGCATGCATGTCGATGTGCAGGGATTGGAGGTGGCCTGACCGTCGATAAGGATGCCTCCGGGAGAAAGGGCAAGGTGAGCACTTGTTTCTATAGCTAGTTTTGTGACTCGAAAGCCTGGCCCGGCTGGATTTACAACGAGACATATATGGTAATAATTCAGAAGCTGGATTTTGGACATAGTAAGAGCAACAACAACTCCAAGAGATTCTCTGTATCCTTTCTAATTGTTAGGAATAGAGATTTTCAACAACTTTTTTAATTGATTATTTAAATATAGACATATTTTATTTTAGATTTCTTGCTAGCTAAAGATAAAGAGCGAGAACCAAACAAGATGACTATAGAGCGCACACAACATGTAGAAAAACTATTGGAGAGTGAAAAGATACAGAATACGAATAGCTCTCTCCAAATGATGATTCGGAGAATGAACTTTTGAAAGGCCTTTTTTAGTGCTCTAACTAAAGAAATGTTAGAATTTGAGGGAGGCAAAACTTGATGCATGGTTCTTTAATTTAGTTAACCACACGCATGCGTGATGATAGATGGAGCTAGCTGGAATTTTCGTCTAATTAATTTTGTACGTGGTGTGGGATGTGATATGATGCAGGGCAAGGGCGTGTACCAGTTCGTCGACAAGTACGGCGCTAACGTCGACGGATACAGGTGAGCTTGCTCATCCAAAAATCGAAATATGCAACAATCCATATATATAGCAACGAGTACATAACTGTGTGAACATCATACTAGTATTAGTAGTTGATTGGACTGTGTTTTTGGCAATCAATTTGCAGCCCAATCTACAACGAGAATGATTGGTCTCCCAGCGGCGACGTCTACGTCGGTGGTAAGCACAGTGATTAATTCTACTCACTTGTCCACAATAATACAGTGCTCAACTGCTCATACAAGCAAAGCAAGTAGAATAAAAATAAACGTTTGTGCTCATGTGGTACGTATCCTTGGACCTTATTATAGGAACCACTGGGCTTCTGATCTGGGCCGTCACCCTCGCTGGGCTCCTCGGCGGCGGCGCCCTCCTCGTCTACAACACCAGCGCCCTCTCCGGCTAAGGATGGATACTCATTTCCAATCCATGCGCTTCTTGATGTGATGCGGTTCATCATGTAAAATCAGAATCAGCCAGGGTGTCTATCTGTAATCTATCCTCCTTCGATGCCCACTGTAATGCAAGCTTCATCATGTAACAATTAATGCTACTCTACTACTCTACGGCGACTCTTCATACTTAATTTTGGGACAACTACTATATTATTAATTGATGCTGTATATTTAGATTACTAATAGCTGATAACTTCGTTCTATCTGCCTCGTGAGTTTCTTGAATTGTGATAAAAGATGGTGAAGCTAGTTAAGTAAAAAACTAGGTGATGGTATAGGTTCAGCTATAGACTACGAAACCCTTTTTATTTGAGCGGGTAAGTATATATAAACACACTAGATCAATTTCAGTGCAATTATTACTCGTTAACTTATTTTTATTTACTAGCAAACATGTCCGTGCGTTGCAACGGAACCGATACGTCTTGGAATCATACTTTATCCTAGTATTGGATACGAGTTGTTCTAACTCGTAGGAGCACGGATCATGAGTTAGGTCACATATGGAACACACACACATATATATATATATAGGGTGTAAGGGCATGGTAGGGTTATCATATCGGATTTGGATTAGGTTTGTTGACATGTGGAGGATAAACTCGGGCTCCAAGGTGAGTTTCCAGAAGCGACGGAAAAAGAAATTCTCCCTCTTTAATATTATAGCAGGTAGGTATAGGTACATAGATATAGATTAGATGAGATAACAAACTGCTTAGGTTTCAGTCATGGTTTGTTTATTAGAGAAGAATAAAGAATTCAAAGATCCATAATACTATATTTATTATTTATTATTGAGTTAAATGCATCAGCGGGGCCTTGAATCTATAAAGGTGTGTCACCAAAAATATATTTTTGGATCGTTAAACTTGTTAAGTGATGCACCATAGGTCTATCGCCCATACCACACATGTAGATGTTTCTAGTTGATGTGGCATGACAGCGGGCGCTGATTTTGTCTGTTACTTTGCATTTAAACCCTCGTGTACGTGAGGTAGGCCGTACAGATGGCTCCACAAGCTGTAGTGCACTTGGCGAGGTGGGGCGGTAGCGTGGGGCTTACGAACCTAGTTCCTTCTCGCTCCTTGCCACGAACCCACGGTGCAAGTGGCGTGCCCACGAGAAGCCACATTGGCAGCATCCCTTGTGAACCCATGGCGGGAGCTATTTGAGCGGCGGGCTTGTGTGCCATACGGATGACGAGGTGATGGCTAGTGACGGGGCGGAACGATGGTGTGCAGATGAGCATGAGTGACGGGAGGTGAGCCGCAACGTCTGTCGGGCTAGGGCCAGCGTGAGAAGAAGAGAGAATGAAAGGGGTTAAAGGTAAAAAACATGTCACGGTGTCCCACCAGCATTAGCTGGAAATGCCTACATGTGTGGCATGGACATAGGGTGTACCACTTAACAAGTTTAGGGATCTAGAAATACATTTTCAAAGTTTATGGATCTAACTGACACATCCTTCCAAGTTTGAGGCCGCTCTTTATTATTTATGTTTATAAGAGAAACAAAAAGAGAAAAACGACAAAAAAGGTCATGGAAACATAGGTATATAGGCATAGGTTACATTAGACGATAAATTATTTAAGATTGTAGTCACATAGTATTTTTTTCTGTTTATAAGAAAAAACAGGAGACAAAAAATAAAAACAAAAAAGTCACGGAATCAAATGTATATAGGCATAGATTAGATTGGTGATCAATTATTTAACATTTCAGCTACGGGTTACACTACTACAGAAACGTTTTCTGCAGCGGGCAAATTTGCTTTTGCGCAGCGGGCAAACACGTCCGCCAGCGTGAGAAGGTCACAGTAAATCGTGGCCTTCCCGCGGTGGGCCGCTTTGCCCGCTACGGTTAATCGATTTCCCGCGGCGGGCACGTTAGGATGCCCGCCGCGGTTAAACGTTTCAAAAAAAAAACAAAAAAAACCCAGGAATCCGCCGGCGAGTCCATTCTCGAGTCCACTGACGAGCCCATTCACAACCCAATACTGGCGCCACCGCACCTCGTTGGATCCACCGCCGGGGTCTCCACCTTGCCGGATCTGCCGCCGGGGAGGTCATCCTCGCAGGATCTGCGCCACCGCCGCAGGTTGGGGCCATCTCGCCGTGGATCCGTGTCGTCGTCGTGTGGATCCACGTCGTGGGAGCAGGGAGTAGACGCGGTCGCCCTGGAATCGCCGCCGTGTGGATCCACGTCGCAGGGAGTCGACGCGGCCGCCTAGATCCGCAGCCGTGTGGTCCCTGCGCGCCACGTAGCTCCTCGCCTATGAGAGAGAGAGAGAGAGAGAGAGAGAGAGAGAGAGGTACTGAGAGGAGAGAGAGAGGGAGAGAGAGATACCGGGCACGGCGGCTCTCTCCTCGCCAGATCCGATCACGGTCCTGGACCCGCGTGGTGGCGCGCGCGATGGAGAGGTGGTGGCGCACGCGACCTTGCTCGATGCTGCGCCATGGAGAGGCCTTCACATGCCGACGGCGTGCGTGACAGAGAGGTGGTGGCGCGCGCGACCTCGCTTGTCCCTGCGCCGCAGAGAGGCCTTCACACGCCGGCGAGGGAGAGAGAGAAGGAGTGGGAGAGAGTGGGAGAGGGAGAGAGAGAGGGAGGGAGTGGGAGAGGCCTTCACGCTGGCGACGGAGGGAGTGCGTGCGTCGCGGGGTGGAGGTGCTCGTCGCGGGTCGTGAGGTGGGCGAGGTGGGAGCGGCACTGGGGATGAGAGGTAAGAGGACTGAAACCCTAAGTGCTCATTTTATACCAGTACCCGCTACGGGCCTCGCCCTGGGCCTATTGGGCCTCGGCCTTAACCGAGGCGGGCTTTATAGGATGCCCGCCACGGTACATCGATTTACCGTGGTGGGCAAAAGTGCCCGCCTCAATAAATAAAAAATGCCCGCCGCGGTAAATCGTGGGATTTACTGCAGCGGGCAAAAATAGGAGCCTGCCGTCGGAGAGCGTTATCGCAACGCTGCGCAAATTTGTTTTTGTAGTAGTGTTATTTATTACATTAGAGAAGGATAATAAAGAGTTCAAAGACCCATAACATTATATTTGATATTTATGATTTTTGTTTATAAGAAAATGGGAGATAAAAAAGAGAAAAAAAGAGTCACGTACATAACCGAATGGTGGGAAGGGGAAATGAAAAAAAATGAAAAAGAAACAGGAAAAGAGCACGCGGACAGGAACGCCTTCAACTGAAAAAAAAACGGACGGTTCCATCCGATGGAGAAGAACGACACGAGAACTTTTTGGGGGCTGATGGTGGAGGCCGAGCCACTTTAGGATTAGGCTGAATGAAAAATTACTGGTGATAGAAATTTTGACTTTTTAATATTAGATTAGAAAAATATCCGTGTGTTGTAACGGGACCCAATATATAGACTAATTGAACTTCGTATCATTGCTAGATGCAAGTTGTTAGCGGGAATCATGCGTCTGAGTCAAGTACGAGAGACGGAGGGCACGACCCAATACATATTGGAATCAGACCCTGTATTCATCGTTAGATGCGGGTTGTTCAAACTCGTGTGGGTATAAGACTATAGGTCTCCCGATCAAGTAAAGAGAAACGGGTAGAAGGAACTCTCCACTATCTAGATAGTTACGCGAGGTGGACAAAGAATAAAATTTTGGCTATTTAATATTAAGTAAAGAAGTATAAGTATATAGATATATATTAGATTAGATGATAAAGTATTATATTTATTAAGGTTGATTAGTTGGAGCATCGGATGATCTAAATTGATTAGTGATGAAAATATCTGTTTATTAGGAAACGAGAAAGAGATCAAAGACACATGATACTATCTTTATTATTTATGTTTTTCTATTTATAAAAAAGAGATTATATATAAAAAAGAAGAAACAAAAAAATCACGGAACTAAACATGGGGAAAGCGGAAACGGAAAAAAACAACCGGGCACGGTCGGCAACACTTTCCATGGAAAAAACGGACACGGGTCTTAGCGGACAGGCGGAATCGGAAAAATAAAGAGAAAACATTCCCGCAAAGGGCACGGACTGATGCTTTCCACGGGGGAAAAAAACGGACGCAGGTCTTAACTGGTTGGACGAAAAAAGTGAATAGAAATTTTGCCTCTTTAGTATTAGATAGAGAAGTAGAGATATAGATATACATCTGGTGTACTACAAAGTTTGAGCCCTAGGGGAAAAGTTTACCAAATTTCACCCGGCTCACTTTCTGTCTTGCATTCTGTTGCACTCTTGGACCTTCAATTTTGCTAATAAGGTCATCGTTCGCTCCAATTGTTATACTCCTATATATGTAGTAGTGCAATGAAGTGAGGTAGAGAAACGATTAATTAAATTTTTGGGTTTAATGAGGATGGGAGGGTGGCTACAAATGCAAAAAAATTACATGAACCGGCCGAGTCCATATAGCAAGGACAGGAACCTGGAGAGATGCGTTGGAAAGTCTGTTGTTAATTCCGCATTCTCCATGCATTGTATCATATATATATATAATATATACTTCAGTAGTATCTTGATGCCAAATAGGATGGAGTATAGTGTCATACTCCAATATTGACGACAATTAAAAGTTGTGACGTTGTATCTGTGACTATGGAGCAGGGCGTTAGATTTTGTGCTAAAACATAATAAGATACCGTGCCAAAGTTGTATACTGCACATTGTATGATTGTATCTATTCTCTATCTCTTCTTTTATCTACACCTAAAAAGACTCTAAAGTCATCATGTACACCTAGAAAGACTCTAAAGTCATCATCTACTTGGTGATACCAAATCCACGTCCGCGTCCTACCCAGTTACCATACGAAGAACATATGCAAGTGTCCGCGTCTGATACAAAGTCCTCGGAGCTCACGAGTGTGCGTCAGGTTCAATTAAAAAATTGTGACCTCAGCCCGATGCAATGCACGAGCATATTAATAATGATAGGACAAGTTGATAGCTCCCTAAATTA